TATTGAAAGAAACGCATTGATTGGGAGGAAGTTGCAATCCTGATAATTGGGTCCGAAATTAACAAAAAGATTGCAATACAGGAATAGAGGAGGAAATTGAATACCTTAAAAACATCTGCCGATTTAATATGCAAATGTCTTCAGAAGTGCAATCAAAAAAATTATTTCGGATGAGAAAGAGGCTTCCATGAAGATATTTTATAGTTGACATAGTCAACTTCAGCAAAATATTTTCTTAAGAAGTTACATTGAAGTTAAAGAAATAAAAAGAAGGTGCCCTACAAATAACACTTAAGAACCAAGATAACATTCCTTTACTTATTATTTTCGAAAAGACCGACAAGATATTCCTATTTGCAAAAAATATTTTAGGGACATTTATCAGGTGAATGACGAGCAGATATATACAAATGTTCTTCTAAAGAACAAGTTACGTATTTGGTTGATCAGCGTAATGGTCGTGTTGTAAGCAATAAAGTAAGAGGACACTATATTGATCTAGCTAAATTAAATTTACTTGATTGCTAGAACCTACTGGAACTGATAAGTGACTATTCGCTGAGTTCTACTGGGTCAGTAACAACAACAGAATCAGTTAAAATAAAAGTTACAACAACAACGGTTAAAATAAAAGTTAAAATACCCTTTTATTTGAACTCAAATATTCACAAATGGACCCACTTGGGCATAAGAAAGCCAGCACTTATGGCTTTAAAGTAGAAAACATAAAAATCACTAATTTTCAGTTGAATAATCATCCGAAGCTGCACAGAGCTATTTAACGCGTAATTGGCTCTTTTGGCTAATATCACCAACGTAGATTAATAGGCTATTAACATGCACAGCCGTAAAATAGCAAGATTTAACTAGTAGCAACAACGTGGCAGAAAGGCAGAACACGCTGCGTCTGAAGTAGCTTAAATCTCATCTGAAACAATAGTTTCTACCCTACTTTGCATAAAGCAGGAAGCTGAGAACTCATTCTGAAAGGAAAGCCTAGGTAGAAAAATGAAAATGTTAAGGAAAGGCTGTTTCCAAAATCAAAATTAACCGTTAAAAAATAAAATGCAACCCCCACAACACACCATAGCTCAAATCCAAGACTGTAATATTTGGATTCTTACTTAAGAAAATGTTTTAGCTATACGCCGCACAATGTAAAAAGGAAAATGTAGTACCAATGAAAGAAAAATATACTATAAGGCCTTCTCTTCAAAATTTAATGAATGTGCGATGAAAGTGAAAACATCGTTTTTTGAACAAAATAAAACTATCGAACCATTTATCAATTCCATAAACACACAATAATATTTTCAACTAAGATAAACTGGAGAGTTATTAAGTTTGTGGGAGAAACATGAAAAATGTGCGATGCCTTCCCTGGGACTCGAACTCTGGGCCTCCTGATTGCTAGCCGGACATGCTTCCAGTTACACCATGAAAGTATGCGGAAAGAGGAAGAAAATATCTCGCATTCTCTCCCCACTTAAAATGCACGTCGCGAGGGCAGGAACCCACTCACCAAATCCTTGTAGTGACGAATAATCTTCACCATATTTTTTAGTTCGGGTGCCACTGTAGAGTCATAAAGTTTATTTCGGGGCAGGAAACATGAAAAATCAGCAATTTCCTCGCAGGGATTCGAAATCCGCTCCTGGGGTTTGTCACCTGACGCGCTTTCTCACGAAGGCTCGCGATAAGGATTTCTCACGAAGGCTCGCAATAAGGAAGAAGAATAATAGAATTACAAAATAATAGAATTAATTTTTAATTTCCTAATCCTTAAAACGAAACGAACGATCTTGTTTTACTTGAACTGTATAAAGAATTTTTGAATTTTTAAAAATGGTATTTATTTCTCTGTTAGAGGGCCTTATTAATTCATACTTTTCATTTCTCTACCCTAACAATAACCAACATTAAATGTTTTGTTTCCATGTCAGATCGCAAATGTCTTATACTATTCATATTTATTATACGCAAATGCAGCTCTAAGCTTTTACGTCCATAATATATTAGAATATTTCATTAACAAAGTATATGTGCTTATTTCATCAACTGAATTTCTGATGTTAGCATATCTTCGCACATTAAAATATTCTACTGACCAGAAGCCCACACCTGCATAAGGAATTATTTATATTTGAGTAAAAACGCAAAGCCTAATCTGTTTTTATTTAAACTAATATATTTTAGTGATACAAACTAATTAAGAAAACAAATTAACAGTATAATACGTATTATTAAAGCAATTACAATCCAGCAAGAGTGGAGTTAAAACTCAATTATTAATCTATCATCTCTCCAAAAAGGCTATAATTAAACAGAAAAAATTACTTAAAAGACGCAGTCGTTTTACCCATAGTTTTATATGTTACATGTTTGCTAAACAATGTAGGCTAGTCCACATGTTGTACAAATCCATTGAATTAATTTAACAGTTTTTTAAAGAAAATACGTATCACAATAACATGCTAATCAGATAATTTTTGTATGTTATTTAAATTGATAGAAAAATTTATTATCTCGTAAATTAATTATCAAGAAACTTAATTTTACTTGGGCTATGAAAAAAAAATGAGAGCAATAGATAATTACTACCATAAAATACATACTATACTATATAGTATGCATACCATAAATATTTTTTTATGAAAAGACACAGTTATTCTAAAGTAATCATATTTTGTAAATCTAAATCTATATATTTATATGAGAAAATTCTACAAATAAGTATATAAAACAGAAGAGGTAAAAAGGAACTATTGTTAATCACGAAAAGTTTCAGGCAGCATATTTCAACGAAAATATCCATTTTGACCACTTGTTTTTGCGTAGTATCTGTACGTAAGGACAGAATAAAAGACTCGTTTCCTCCAAAAAAATTATAAAACTGCTTTAAAATAATTCTGAAGAGAAATTTTCGTGGCGTCTGTACGAACGTACGGTATGTACGTTACGTATCTCGCATAACTCAAAAAAGAGAGCCTCAGAATGTTGAATTTTGTATATAGGACATGTAATGTGCACCTCGTATTTTGGTTGCAATCGGCCGCACCAACGTATATAAATATATTTATATATATTTCCACTCTGTACGGCTCAGTGATCTCAGTTTCTTTACTCTTCTAGGTTGTAATTGTACATTTTTTGCTTTAAAAATGATTGAATTATGTTGTTTTTAATCGTCCGGTTAAGGTTTATGCCTTTAGTAAATCTGTACGCATATGTTAGATTATCAACATTTAAAGTTGTTTAAGTGCCGCTAATCCTTTTTTTGATGGAGGCCATTGATTGTTTACCTTGAAACAGCAGACTAGTGGATTTGTTGCAGAGAACTAGCTTCGCAACAACAAAGATAATTGCCTTCATTTATTATTGCAATTAAATCATGCTTAATCCTTTCTGGAAATTTTTCGAGGAATAAGTGTTTAAGATTTACTTCGCAATTTTAATATAGATATTTGAGTTTTTTATGTATTTTGCCTTTTCGCGAAGTGAGAACTGATTAATTGATAAAATACTCAATCGTCTGTGAAAAACTGTTTCTTTTTTGCTTTGTTTGCTTATTTCTTTTATACATCTTCGAGCTTTATTATGTATTTGAATAAACATGTGGCAACGATGATAATTTATTCTTTAAATCATATAATTTTGTGCATTATGAGTTATAATATGAACGAATATAATACTGTTAAGTGAATCTAGTGCCAGAGAGTCGCTATGATAAACAAATACTAGAGGAGGTTAAAGAATCATTTATTATAGTGTTTATGCGCTATCGGCGAAGTAGATTTAATTCAATCCATAGTTTAAATGAATGCAAAAAAATGCGTATAAATAAGTATATAAGACAGAACAGGTAAAACTTTGAGGCAATACCGTCATTTTTATTAAAATTAGCTTATTCAAGAAATCATTAACAATTCGAATCTGAGAATTAATTCTCCTATTCAAAGGTACATAGAGTAACCAAATTAGCTTTACGAATTACACTCTAACCGTACAATCATAAACTTTTCCTAGTTTCATTCTTTACTAAAGAGCCCACCAGCAGCTGAATGGAAAAGTTGCTAAACAGATATAATTCGGTCCAAGGCGTTTTCGAAGTTTTCCCCATGTGTAACGTGTATATATAAACCTGTTTCTCTTAGAAAATCTTCCTCGCAGGCGTCCCTTCCTTTAGGTAGATAGCCCTCGAGTTCTTTATCATAATCAAATAAATCAATCTTCATTGAGGAAAAATATGCGCTAATCAAATATAAGTTGCTTTACATTTTTAGATTCATGCTGTAAGATGAGTAAATAAAATTATGTGATTAAGCGGATTATAAAGCAAAAAATGGAGAAAAATCTGGCACTAAGATCCAATGTCTTAAACAGTAACTTAACTTACTTAAATTTGCATTAAAAGAATTTTCAAACGTTTGATTCGTATATGTTAAATTTCATACAAACACGCAAAGGGACACAAAAGGGAAATAATTTGGAAAAGATTGTCGTCATCATCGTCTCTCATCTTTATCGCTACCATAATTTTCACCTTGACTTCCTCAGATAAATGAAACTAAACAATAGCGAACTATTAAACTAAAAAAAATTGCTGAAAGACGGTCAGAAATTTGTTTACTTTAGTTAGATCTTTCGTCACTTTTTTTTGACTATCATCAGATTCCGCACGTATGTGCCGAAAGATTTATGTGTCGAAGGGACTGTAACGAAAAATGTAACTAAGGTAAACAAATATTTGGAATGCTTTTCGTACTATTTTTTTTTCATTTGTTTCAATGTTCAGTTTAAACTTCTGCTAACGACCAGAAATTATAAATTTTCTTTCGGCAAATACTAGAATTTCATTTCAGGAGCCTTCCTCTTGTTATTTATGATTAGGCAGAAACAAATTAATGATACATTTGTTATTTTGGCCTTGGCTGCGTTTCATTAAATTAGATCGCAATACTTGCATGGTTCTTTGTTAATTACTAGATGGGAAACACAACTGAGGATACTGCAAGCATTTTATGTTCATTAACCAATTATTATCATTTGAAATTTCATCTTTCCATAGTCATCACCAAAATGCCAACTGGTTACGTGAATATTTAAACCGAGAATTTGAACATTTTAGAGTTAGAGTTTTCGGGAACCTAGCTTGTAGTTTACGTCCTCGCCAGCTATGCCAGAGTTTATTCCAGCTTTAGCCATTTTTCAAGACAAACGTTAAAAATGCTTCGTATTTGAGCCAGCTTATGTAGTCTCCGACTATGATACTTGAATTTTAAACTTCACCATCTGTTATTTTAAACACTCGCCAGTGACGGAATTTTGTTTTATGTGCACAAGTGGGGTCTCCTGTTAAATTTAAAGAATTAATTAACATGTTATTTTAATCTTCGTAAAACTGTCATCTTAGTTCAGGCTGGAGTGATAACTCGCTTAGTCTGAAAAGACATTGATTTAAGCCTTCTGTTCATGTCAAATTTAAAAATAAAATTAATTTTGGACAAATAGCAAAATCTAAAATATTTGGGAAAGCATTGTGAAGCAATAAAATTATAAGAAGTTTGACTCCCATACCACAAAAATTAACCAGGATATTTAATTTCAAAATTTGCAGTTCGTGATTTCCTTTTCAACTTGTCTTCAGGAATAGATTAACTCATAATAATCCGAGAAAATGAATGTTTAAATTAAGTTTAAATGAAGTGGGGCTAAAATAGTTGTAATTTAATACGCCGTGCAAGGAAGTCATGTGATGTCCACTAGCCGCATTTTTAACTTATTTCTTGAAATTATTACCATAATTAAGGGACCGCTGATACTAAATTAACGGACGTTGTGTTTCTTTTTAATCAAATTAGGGTTTAATTTTATGAGACAAATTGTTCCCTCTTTTTTTGGCTGGCTTATTGCAAAAGGCAAGTGATGGGCTTCTCTGGACCTTCTTAAAACGCTCTCTCCGTGGCATATACTCGTATGTGATCACAAAGCTGATACCTGAAAGAAATAAGTGTATAAGCATCAACATCTCATGCTATTAAATATATGAATTTTTTATGAAGTTCACATAAATGAAATTCAAAGAGAACGACAGAAAGCTATTTTAAGAAAAATGAAAATAATTAAAAAAATATTTAAACTTCTCGCATTTCTGTTTCATATAAAGAGTATGATTGTTTACACCTGACATGTCAAACTCTGCACCTCAAATGAACTAAATAGTCATCAACATACAATAAGGCAGGGCGCAAATGAAAAATGCTATTTTCCTAGTCAATGGTGCATTGAAAAAGTGATTATCACATAAAATCTCTTCTAATACTGTATTTCTTTAAACAAAAATATGTAGAAGGAACATAAAGAAAACATTTACCAAAACAGGATCTAACCGCAGTTTAAAGTTTTCCCAGCAAGACCAGTATTAGTCGCCAACAGACTTTACTTTAATCGACAATGGGGCGGATTGCAGGATAAACTCTCGCACTTCTATTAGGAGCCAAAGTTTTATAGCATTATATGTGATTGCATGTAATATCGTATATTTTTATACCTCATATAAATAAAACGATTACTAATGAAAATTATAGAGAAAAAGATAACGGGTCTGAAACAGTAATAATATCGATAGTTAAAATAGTTTAACTTAGTAACAATATAACTTAACAACAATGTAACTTAAATAACAATAGCAATCTTATTTGCCTTTAAGGAGTAATTCCAAGTATGCTCAGGGAAAGTTATTCCAAATGGCACGACCTGAGTTTGTCTGGAAGGATACAAACAAATTTAGCAACTTTTGAGTCTTAATGGTGGTTTTGATTCTGACTTGAGTATGTAATTACTAATACTGAAAAATAAACTTATCAAAGCTCGTAGTGTTTACATTCCATATTTTTTTACCTACTCTTAGTAGCTTAGCAAGCAGAACATGAGAGTGCAAACAGAAACAAGCATGAGGTTATTCGGAATGTTAAATCCACCCAACCGGCTATTTGTCTCATCTTGAAAGCGAGTTTTTTGCAGGTAAACATTTAGTAGGGAATAGCAGGAAAGTTCTGTTTGATTTCTATACTTTTTTTTTTGTTACCTAATGACCGGTTTTGTTACCTAATGACCCAGGGCATAAAATAAAACCTCAGAGAAGAAATTTCAAGGCTTTCGGAAAAAACTCTCAAACGGCATTTTTTTGGAAGCATTTTAAAAGAAAGCTTCTCTTGCGATCTTTAGAGAAGGATTAACATTTGTAGACTACTAAATTGCGGGCTGTCATCCCAGAAGGACAAAAGTTGTTCATGAATTTAATGCTACTACATTAGCCACGTACACGACTTAAGTGCAACATACATAAAAGATGCACGATTTCCATTTTGTTTTACAGCAGGGAAAACTAAACACACTTGTTATCTCTCTCTTACAGATTCCTTTTATCATTCAGTTGTATACGTGCAAGAGAAAGGTAATGTGAGTGTTATACGTATGTTATTTCTAACGGAGCTAAGAATTTATTTGATGTTTCTTAAGGGCTTTTCTTTTAATCTTTAGTCAGTTGCATTTTCCTGCATTGACTCAGGTCATTAATTCAGTTTCTTAATTAAATTCATCTCTACTAAAGTGTTTTTCTTATTTAATCATTCGCAGAACGTAAGTCGCCATTTGGCTTATCAAAGCATCAGAATCTATAATTTAATGGGAGAAAGCAAGTATTTTGCAACCTGTTACTTTACTGCGTTTTCTAAACTGCCGAAGGTCGTAAATGCAATTTCTGATAACAGTTTACTTAGAACTTGTTTTTCTTCCACGAATCTTATTTTATCTTTTACAGAGCATTAAAAATCGGAATGTGTCTTATTGGAATATCACATCCTACGTTTTAATCAGAAAAAATAATCATTAGTTAATTACAGAACTGATCCCAGAATGATGCCTATCCTTCGAGCTGTTGAAAACGTACATTTAACTTCTGATCTGTCGAAACACTTAACCACTAAGAGCCTATTGTTAAAGAGAAAACATACTTATAACATAACTGCCAATTAAAATCAATGAATAATTTTGTATCTTAAGTGTATTATATATATCTTTTACAATAAATTTCTTTGATTAAAAGGAAATGTTACTGAAAAAAATCATAAGAAAGAGAAAATGCATTTTCGATACCACTGGGTGTATTTATTTATACGTTCTATATTTATACATACGGAGAAGGAGATTGAGTAGTGCTATATGAGATAACATTAATGTAGATAGTCACTAATATTATTTGATAGCCACAACTACAAATGAAACAATCTTGATATAAGTAGTGAGAAAGGGATGATCCATTCCGTAAATACAAAATTACGTCCTGCATTTGCGACTATTTACTTAAATATTATATTAGATTTTGCAGTACATGGTAAAAGTATAGTTTAGGGTACCCCTTGGCGAAACTTGGCGAATTTTGGCGGTACATGGATATCGATTTTGTGCAATTCTTTGATTCGTTATTTTGGCTTCACATAGTGACTATCTGAGCCTTTCTTCCTACAAACCCATTCAAATCCAACTAAACGTTTTTAACACACACCACAAAAACGCTTACAAAACATCCCATTATTCAAAATTTCCCAGAATCATGCACCCAATTACGTCACAATAGAGTTTCCATAACATTCAAATACTCAGGCTACCATAAATGAAACAACAACTTGGCGATAAATCAAACAACTTCACCATAATACAAGGGGTACCTTAAACTCTACTCTACCCCAGTACATTTTTACGGCATTAAATAATTAAAAACGCATTTCTATATATTTTAAGCATTCAGTATCACCCTCAAAATCTATTTTCACTATTTCTAAGGCAAGGGTTTCTGCAAGTTAAATGTGTAGTCAATGTAATTTTATTTATATATTCGGTTATCGTATTTTATTACAATGATAATTATATTACTAAATTAAAAAGAAGTGTCAGGGCATTGGACCCTCTGATCACTAGGCGAACGAGAAGAGCAGATTTAGCGTTAACCAAAGTGTACCAGGAAGAGGACTGCTACTTTACCCCCCGCGTACAATCATCCATGCCTTTACCGCGATTCTAACCCGGGTTCATCCTTACAGCAGTCAGCGTCACTAACCACTGTACGAGATGTGCGATCAGGCTGCTAAATAAAAACAAAATGATTTTTCTTTCCTTAGTATACAAAATGCAAAATACCCTGACTTCAAATGACTTCGACAGAATCAAACACTTGAATTAATTTTCATTTGCCTAAAACACATTGCCATAATCCAAATAACCTAACCTAGCCATAACCTAACATAAAAATATAACTCATAAAGTACACATTTATTTAAATTAGTTGAACAATTTTAAAATTATTGTACTCTTATTTCTATATTTTTTAAATTAAGAGAAATATTTAAATGTATATTAATAAATTTAAAATGCGTTAAATTATATTAAGCTTAATCTTATATGGCCTAGAAAGAGAAAGCAAAGTAGATAACTGAAAATCTAGATATCTAAAATCCTCATAATTAATTTTCTCTTATACTAGATTTGAAAGTATCACAAAATATCTTACTAAAAGAAATGTTCTAATGGTAGAATTCTACTCGTAAAATATTTTGTGACTGCGTGATTATATGCAGCTGACTGTAATACCATGGGATAAACCAGAACTTGAATCTGAGATCTCTAAATTCTTCGGTGTTCTCAAGTGATTTTCTAACTGTGCGGCGTCCTAGCGTAATTTATTTTAACTTAGTAAGGCACTTAGCAATATACCAGATTACGCTTTTGTTCGCAATTTATCGCCCTTACATATACGCTAACAGAAATAATACAAATCCATGTGAAGCCAAACTGATATATTTAAGAGATTTTACAGTTCAGAGAGTAGCACAAAACGGAACTTTAACTGAAGATCTACCGAAGCGTTCAAGCATTAAAACAGTAACTTGAGTGGCAATAACGTAAGCCTAAATGCCTTGGGATTTCAATTAAAGAAGAAACTACTTAAACTAAAGTTCTTACCTATTTCGTCTTCTGATGGTAAGTAAAGTTAAAATAACTTACTGCTGCAGGTGCATTGCCAACTGTACTGTTTGATTATTTATTGAATCTACAGCCAGACGAGCGCAAGGACGGAAGAAGTGGTCACAGACAATTCCACAACAGAAGGCATCAACAAAGAATCATACTTCTATATTTCTCTGTTTCAACACCAGTTTTAACTTCTTAAATAATCAATCAATATGTTTACTTCTGGACAGGGTTAAGTTGGAAATCAAATTTAAAAAAAGAGGCACAAAATTTAAAATAAATAAATGCTGCTTAGTTAAACTTATAAGCTTATGGTTAATCTGCTAAAAGAGACGTCACTTTTAGATTCTCAATTTATTTATCTTTCTAGTGATGCTTCTGCAAAAGTCAAAGCAAAAATAATTACCATTAAAGTCAATAACCTTGCAATAAAATCAATAATAGTAACAGCATTATAAAGCGTTACGATTCGATCTTTAAATTCGGATTCCTAATTACGACTGCCTTTAATCTATAGGGCAACACTTGATTTAAAAATTATGAATCAAGTGCTCATCATTAAGGTCATTAAAAATTAATAAACTTCATATGAAGCTTTTAATGATTCTACAATCCACAGACAGCTAGACATGTATAACGTACACAATTTAAGATAACATTGCTACCTACTTTTCTTTTCTTTTTTTTTTTTTTTTTTTTTTTGTCATTTGTTGTTTTGTAGCACAGAGTATAAGTTTTCAATCATTATTTGAATATTAAAACTTTGCTGGGTAACTGGGTTACATGATGCCAAACATTTGAACCTAGAAGTGGTAACCTCTTTTGCACTTTATGATTTGTTATTTCAGCTACAAATAATCGATTCTTGGAACAATATTCTAAATGAATGAAATGTTTCTCATTTGCATGGTTTTAATATTAAAGTATTAACTTTGATTTGAAAAGCCCCTAATAACAGCTTCTAAGAAGTATTTTATATCTCATATATACAAAGATAATAACTCTTAATTACATTAGCTTTTTGTCTCAAATTTAGTCTAAAAAATTTCGAAAGAATCTTTCGCTGCGATTTATTTATTAGGGAACCAGAAAATGATTTAATAAAGATATGCCAATAAAGATAAAAATTTAAAAGATAAATCTTTAATAAAGGTAATGTTTGCATTAAGCAAACATTTTTGTTAAATAAACCATCTTCAGTGGGACGGTAATTAAGTAAAACCTTTTCCTCCCGACATAATATTTCTTTCAAACAATATTATTTATTTATTCTAAACGTTTTCCCTAAATATATTTCTTTTACAGGCATAGTACAAATGAATAAATTTTCTTGCTAAATAAACACATTTTGCTGTGTATTTTTACTAGAATTTTTTTGCCCTATTTTATCTGAATTAATATATATTTTTCAAAAAACTTTCTTATGTCTTTTACACAGATTGTTTCCCAAACTGGGATAAAACTGTAGAGTCATTAGGTTAATTAGAAGCAGAAAAGATGAAAAATATGCAACCGCCTTCGCAAGGAATCGAACCACGGACCTCTGGAATACCGGCCCAGCGTGCTACCGTTACACTACGAAGGCAAGCTAGGGAAGTGGGAGAAATACCTTATAAAACATTCTGAAAATTTTATTGAAAAAGGCGTGACAGCTATATAAAGGAGTTATCGCCTTTCCATATGCGGCTGTCGTGGTATAATTGTTAGCATGCCTAATTAGCAATCGGAATACACGTGGATTGAATCCTAGTAAGGACGCAGCTGATTTTTTATGTCTATTACTCTGATTAACATATTAGTTCTTTAATGAACCATAAGAACACATATATCTGTGGACTTCAAGAAATGTTCCTTTTTCATATAGCTCACAATAAGGCTATGAATATGGCTTTATTCAAGGCTATGAAATTTTTACAGTAAATTTAGATTGGAAGATAAAATTGAGACATTTTATTTAGATCAGTTGGATGAGTCTTCAAAACGAGTCATTTTTTAAAAAATGCATTACGAAGGAGAAATCATCTAAGGGTCAAAAGAGGTTAATTAATGGTTAGGCTTCAGTAATATTAACAACTGTATGCTTTATTTGAAATTCAGAATTAAAATTGAAGTATTTTATTTACAACTGGGACAAAATCTAGAATATCTTACCTACTATTGCGCAGTCATCTAGCAGCAACACTAAAAAGTGGAATAATAGGCTTAGTGAAGCACATTAAAATGTAACTGTTATGACTGCTATAGAAGAATGTCTGAAACTATCTTAAAATTATGCAAAATATTCACTTTAAACTCATGTTCTGAAGGCTGGACTTCGAAGGAGGAGACTAAGGAGCTTCTTATTGGAAGACTGGGCAAAATAAAGAAGATAAAAACCTGAATAGCGCCTCCGCTCTATTTTTGTTTTTTACTCGATTGCGAAACACTTACTCGCTAATATTAAAAAGCAGAAGGTATGTAATTTTATAAACATGCCCTTCTCTTTGATTACGAAATATTTAAAATAGGCAAAGAAGCGAGTTAAAGCAAAAAAATAAATCTGAGGTTTTAAAACTATTTTTGTTTAAACTTTCGGAAGTTATGTAAATTAGGAATCGCTATAATGCCATGTTGTTAAAAGAGATTATCTGCAGCAATTCTAAAAAAATATTCAGAAAACCCTCATTCGGGAAAAATAAACATTTGAAGAAATTAATACTTGAGATATCAGTTATCAGTTATTTTTCAAAATCGTATAAAGTTCTTAATTTGAACTTGGACCTCAGATAAACTGCTTTATTGATATATGACGCTGTAAACAATTGTTGTTTTCAATAGCTGGATAAATAATGGCTTATAATCGTAAGTAAATACCATTGTTATACTGACAATGGCAATAACAATATTTAATGAAAGAAACCGAGTAATAGTTTTACAGATTATCGTTGTTGTACTTAACAATGGCAATAAAAGTATTTTTGTTGAGTAAATGGTAGTTTCGTGTAATATCGCTTTTGTATTGACTACAGTAATGAAAGGTGAAATCTGAAGGCAATTTGTTGAATATTTTACCTTTCCAAATTCTGCATTTAAAAGAAACACGCACACAGAGACATAGACGAACACAATCGTTTCTTCCAACATAAAATTAATGATCTTGTTCTAAAACCTTTCTTATGAATACCGCATATATAATATGTATATAAAGGCAATAAAAATGTATTTACAGGCAACGAAGCCTTGTTTAGTTTTGACAGATATGCAACGGGGAGAAATCTGAACGGGGAAAATGCTACCGAAAACAGTGCGAGTTTGTCTGCGAAATCATAAGCTAAGACAAGGCCCATATTCCGTAAAAACTGTGCGTGATTTGGTAAAAATATGTGAATTTGGTAAAAAGACGTGTGATCGCTAAATGGGCACATGTGATATACCGCGATCCGCACGACTATATGTTCGTTTTGAAGTTGATACGGAAGTGCATAATACGAATACTGCAGGCTCATTGCATACTGCGAAAAGTATTGCCCGCAGTTTTTGTATGTGCTGAAAACCACAGTCCTCAAGATTCTGCGCTGCGTTCTGCGTATGTTTGCTTATCGATTCCAGTGCGTCCAGATGTTGAAACAAGGAGACGAGCAACAGTGTGTCGACTTTATGAATTTTTCCCTTGTCACACATAATGAAAATAGCAGGCGGTCGCTGAGGATACTGCTGCGTTTTTATACGGGTTCGTAGATTTGGAGTGATTGGTGACAACGCTTGATGAAGAATCAGACGCAATTTACTTAGCCAATATTACTTAAGACAGCTCCAAAAACAAGTTTACAGTTGTAGAAAACTACGACAAGCACGCTGACACGATCCGCGACACAGCCTTCAGGCTATCAGGCTATAACGGTGAAGACAGCTTCACGGCAAAGCACCTGATTACAGCTCCCGACTCGGTTCAGTCGTTCTCGGAACTCTACGTACTCTCGAGACTCTCCACGCTACAACTCGCAATGCACTCGGCGATATACTACAGTACAGCTCCCGACTCGGTTCAGTCGTTCTCGGAGCTCAAGGCACTCTAGGATAAAACTCGACGATGCAGTAACTCGCGATAAACTAAGAGACTCTCTCGGCACTAGACTGACGATCAACTCGTTAGACGAGACACTGACTGACTCACCCACTCACTCCGCGTGCAGGCAGGGTTTATATAGCTTTTGGGCTGCCTTCGAGAACATTCTGGTCCAAACCGGTAACTATTCTAAAAGGTAACCAACAGTTCTAGAAGGTTTTCCATCCGTCTATGGCATCGCCAATTTTGTCTCCATATATCGCTAAATGGGCGATTTCTCGCCAAATATAGCAACAATGCTGCAGAATTACAGCAGCGAAATATCGTTAATGACATTGTATGGATGCAAGATTAGACTCTTCCGCACGTCGTCACATGTGTTCGGCAAGTGTTGTTGCAGCACTTGCCGAAGGCAGAGTTACGGAAAAAAAAATCATCTCCCGTAACCTTCCAATTTCATGGGCACCGCGATCCCTCAACCTCACACCGACTGATTCTGGTTCTGTGTTATCTGAAATTTAAGGTATACATACCAAATTCACGAGATTTGTCAGAATCAAAGATGCTGTAAACATGAAGTTATACAGATTCCTCCTACGATTCATCTGTGTTGTCAAGAATCTCCTGCATGCAGTGCGTTGTCGTCTGTGAAGGTGGGCACGTTGAAAACTTGTAATCCCAATAAAAGATTTTTTCCCCTCTCCTCTCTTGTGTTGTCAGTGGTCCTTAACAATGCTCTTCTTTGCAAATGTTTTTCGTCATTCATAAACTATCATTCATAGTTTTTCAAACTGCGGATCAATTTGCGCAGGAAAAAAGGGGATGTTACCATTCGAAAATTTCGAAATGTTTTCACTGTAACCGGAGGAACTTTACGAGCTCTACTGTTTTAAACCTCCCAATCTCGAGCAGATACCTTCAAATAACAATATCTGAAATTTCATTTCGATTAATTGAGCGGATATAGGCCACTAGGAGTTCATATATCGAGGAAGCTTTTTTATGATCACCCTGTACTTTAAGGAACTTTACAAATTCAGTTAGTCTTCCTTTTCTATAGAGTTTCACCAAATTGAGAAAGACACAGGACTGTAGTGTCCACTCTTTCGTTCTAAATTACAGTGGAGATAAATAATAAAGGTATGAAATGCAATGTAGTGAAATCGTAATTAATTACTGAAACTAATATCCCGGACACTGAGCTGGAAAAATTTCATGAAAAAGATTGGCGATTTCTTTGTGGCCGCTAACTAATAAAAAGAATGTTAGGAAAAAGTTGTTAAAATTATACTCTAGCTCTTAAATATATGTCATATGTTTTTCATTTTTATTAAATGTATAGGAAATATAGCAATAAATGCATGAAATAAAAAAATATGGAGGAATATAAGCAAAAACTTTGTTAAAGAAGGACTGTAACGAGATAGTCCTGACACCCTGACGAAAGACTTCATTTGGAGACATTCGACATTCTGACCAAGTAAAGCTTAAAATATGAATGTAGACTTTTAGGCAAGAAAATCCCATATTCTAAATTAGATCCAGTTTTGAATTTTTTTGTGTTACAAGATTCAAAATGAGATTTAAAAGTAATAATTTTCAAACACTCGGTAATATTCCTTCGTATTACAGTGACCAGACGATCCGCAAATGTCCTATATCCATCCTGGACACTTAATTGACAGCTGTTAGGAAACATACTGTTTTAGCCGACACATCCATTTAGCCGACAGCAGGTTTAGCCAGCAAAGAAAGTAGTACGTTTAGCCGAGCAAATGCATATTTAGGCGTGTTACTTATCCGATCAAAGGCAGTTTATCCAGCAAAGAAAGTAGTACGTTTAGCCGGGCAAATGCATATTTAGGCGTGTTACTTATCCGATCAAAGGCAGTTTCCAGTGTATACAACGAAGAGGTTTATGGAAAAATACCACATCTCTACCTTTATTTAATGCTACATACAATCAGGACTTAAATTCCGCCAGCGCCCACCGTAGTCCGGCACTTTTCATTGTTGGCATCATATTTCAAATCGAAGTCTCAGATAAGATGAAATACGGTATTTTTTAAAATTATTTTAGTATTTGCTATGAATTAATTTTTGTCTCTTTATAATAGATTTAATTTTAATTATTCGTTATTTATTACCAATTATTCATTTATATTTATTTACCTTTCCTGACGGCCTTCCATGTGCCTTAGTCACCTTCAATTTTAGAAATTAAGCCGTGAACATCGTAGTATGGTTTTACATTCAATACAACAACTTAAAAAAGGTATGCGAAGCATGATAAGACATATAAATAATAAAACACGTTGAAGAGGATTTTTTATGTGTCAAAGATAGACGTAAAGATAAGTGTTGTGCGACTTAATCAATATGTTCCCACAGGTGCACCATAGGTTGCGCATAGGGACTGTCTTCCAATTCCTGCCACGTACGTTGCTCATGGTCGTTTGTGACATAATCGAAGGCTGCAGTTATGCGTGCTTGGACTTATAAACATACACGACCTTTATATTATAGACTTTCTCCTCGATATAGCCCCATAGAAGAAAATGAATTTTTCGGTTAACTAAAACCATGTTGGATTGAAATCATTTCTGTTCATTAGACCTTCTAGTGTCGTTATTTGAAACTGCGATATTGTTACTAAAGCTTCAAAGATGCAATTTTCTTTCTCGCAAAAAGAAGCAAAAATGTGTTGTATTTTTTAATGTAATGCATGAAGAAGTTGAACACAGCATTTATGGACATTCGGCATATGTAATGCTTTCCTTTTACACACTTTCTCTAGGAAACGTCTTTCCGAAGACAACCAACTCAAAAAAAAAAAAAAAAAAAAAAAAAAAAAAAAAAAAAAACAGTACTTTGAATAACACAAAAAAATATCATTAATAGTAATAACAACACTCTCTAGAATTATTGCTTTCCAAGTCCACCGTAGCCAACAAATATATAGGGCCTTATAATGCCTAATTTCGCTTCAAATTAAAATAACACTTTACATTCTATATAAATCAAAGAGTTACATTTTTAGTTCTTATTGTAGCGGCAAAATTATTTTAATGAAATGAAGCAGTCGATTATTAATTCAATGTAATTTATTTGCTTGTGCGCTCAATTAAATACGCAGAGCTCACAAGCGCTAACTTTCCAGCGTCGTGTATATATGACATACGTTTTCTTCGAAATATGAACGGTTTTCTTTATATGATTCTAAAATTATTTATATTAACTTTTCCAGTTATACTGCTACATT